CAGCACGCTAGGCGCTCGCATCGACATCGAATTTTCGATAAGGAACGGGTTTCTTTGAATAGTTTTTGCGCGGCGGGGAGTGGTCCGGAGTCGGCGCGGGCTGACCGGTTTATTGGAATCCAGGCTGAGTCGTCGTCGTCTTCGTCGGTTCGCGTATCGGTACGACTAGACCCGCGACACTTGTTGATTCACTGGAATACCACCGACGCGAAGCACGTGCAAGCGCGTGTCGGCACCGCTCTTGGCACCCACCGCCGCCGCCGCCGCCGCCACTGCCGCCGCCGCAACGTGACTGAATCACGAGTTGGCGAACTAGCCGATCGGCTGGCGTCGTCTCTCTAAACCAGTTTCTATTCTCCCCGATGTAGAACAATTGAAATAGCGCGATCGCGCATCGTCCCCCTTAAAAGATTCCGCTGACGAAAATACTCGGGTTAAGGTACTCGTGACTTTGTAACGTGTACCTGTGTGTCTACTATTGTGCCTCGGGAAGGTAGTTGAGCACTGATGATTCGCATGGTGATTGAGGGAGCATTTGCCGCTATATAAAAGCGATGAAATATGTTCGTGAGTATTAGAAGTTTGTTCGTTTTGGGTTGTGGGAGAATGTTTATTGTGAAATTGTTGGGTATGTGATAGAGTATTTGATGGTGGGATCGTTTACTAAGTTTATTGGAGTTTCTTTATATTATTATTAGGATTAGAATTACTGAGCAAACTGAGAAATAGATGATTTTGGTGTATGTATCTTTGTTATATAGTCATTACTGAATGTGCAATACATTTATTGTATATTCTCAGTATACAAATGTTTTTTGATTTTGAAATTTTTGATGTCCTTGAATTGTTTTTCAACCGGAAATTATACAATTTTTCAAACGTGTACAATGGAGTATTAAAACGTCCAGGTAGTATCAATTGTAAATTTATAATAGGAAATAAAAAAAGGGCTGGTTATTAAATATTTTATCCCCACTAATTTACCAGATGGAAAAACTAAATTTACAGTTCTTGAAATTTAGTAATATGATAAAAGAAAAGTTAAAAAAATAGTGAAATCACAAAAGATATTAATCATCATCCACAGTCACTAAAATGAACATGTGACCAAAGTGTACGTTACAGAGAATTTCAAGAATCCCAAAGTGACCTTTTCTAGTTGTACTTTTGTTTTAAAATTATTAAATTCTTTATTCTCTATTTATTAGAATCTTTATCAATCGAAGTGAAACTTTGTTTAGGTTTCATGAGGTGCCGAGGAAAAAATTAAATTTCCAGTAATTAGCGATTAATTAGTAGGTACATTATTGAATGAATTGCAAAGGCAATATATATTATGATTCGTGGATACATTAGTTATAATGAGGCTGTCCCCATATTCATGAAAGCCAATGTAACTATCAAAATTTGTTAAAAAACGTAGGTTAAAAAAGTTTGAAAGATATATCTCAAATATTGAGCATAACGTTTTATTGCAAATTAGAATTAATAAGGAACGTGCTGACAGAGATTACATGAAATTTGAAAAATAAAGGGTTTATGAATATATTAACTTTTTTAGTTTTCCCAAAATTTATAGTAGTTTGTCCTAAAAACGAGTTTTTAAAAGATAGTGTTGTATGTTGATGGGTGAGTGATAGTCAAGTCGGAAGATGTTACAGAATTCACAACTTAAACTATTTTTAAATGAATGTAAATGTTTGAAAGTCTGCTAAACGATAATTCGATCTGATCCCCTTATTTTGAGTAGGGAACAAGAGCAACGTGGCCAGTATGCAATGCTTATTGTTAGACCGGACATCGTATTTCAACAGAATAATGCCGACACCTACAAGTGCCAAATTCGTTCGTGAATGCCTTTCACGTGAGAATAAGCTATTTTTGGATCATCCAACGATCTCGTCGATTGCAATATCATAGCGAACAGAGAATAATTCACTAAAACAATTTACAAGAAGTAAGCGAAACGAATTAATTGAAACGATGTATTCGAATAAATGAATGTAACAGTGTACAATATTTATTAAAACAAGTTCATCAAAAAAAACTCGCGAACGTTTGAAACAATTAGAATATGTGCATTAACTTTGTTGCACTAAATAAAATCTGGTTACGCCACTTTGTCTTTAATTTTCTACACCTTTAGAACCATTTTTATTCTCATGCAATAATATACATTTTCAATGTTAACGCACTGCGTACCGGCTAATTTTCAGAAAACTGAATTGTGCGGATGGCAATTTTCACCGAGGTCAACTTATATCGCTATACATAGAAAAACTTAGATATATTGTTATGTAATATATTTTAAACAGACAATCAATTCGAATTAAATTTTATATTTTTTCTATGCCGTGGTAATCAGCGATGTTGCACAGCTAAGTGTCTTTATATAAAAACGAGATTTCTCGATATGATACAAATGTGTTAATCCGAACAATCCACGCGAGTTAACCCTTTGCACTTGT